TATTGTTCAGCCAGTCTTGTAATAAAATAATCTTTCTATTCATTAAAAAAATGATCAACGAATTAATTTTAAAATTAGATTTTACTTTATAATATCCCTCAGAATATTAGTAGACCAGCGTTTTAATTATGACTTTTTTCAACAATTTTTATTCCCTCTGGTTTTTTTTAATCACATTTAAAACCATTTAAGCAATCTTTAAGAAACTTTGTCTTATTTTACTAGAGATTGGGGAAGTTAGAAAAAAAATAGTAGTCTTTCTTCAGAAATAAAATAATTAAAAATTCTTTAAACAAAGCATTTTTATTTTTACTATCAATTATTATATAAACTGCAATTTTTTTAAACATGCAAAGATAAATCATAAAATTTGCTAATCACTGTTATATGCTTGTCATACCTTGGTATGTATTTATTAACAAGTACCGATGCCTGATCCTGATGTGTTCAGGCATTTTAAATAGTTGTTTAGAAGAACAATACTAATAATTTTAATATAATTCCTACTCATAATGTAAGCATAAAATATTTATGCCCCTAAAATATCCATTCTGTACAATTATGGAATATTAATTTGTTTAAAATATAAGTTTGTGTATTAAACAATTGTTTATTGTCCCATGGAATATGCCCCACTGTCTTAGCTGCTTAAAATCAAAATGTATTGCTATGAGTGCTTTTTTTTTTTTTTTTTTTTAATTTCCTTTGTCGGTATGTGTGAAAATATCACATTTTAGAGCTCAAAGGTTTAGTTTGATTTGTAAGATTTTTTTGATATATTTTTAAATATTTTCTTTTGTCTGAGAGTTATAAAATAACCGAATTTTTGTAGAAATGGTGTAAAAGCATTGAACCAATTTTGTCTATTCTGTTATAAAAGCGACTTACTAATTGCAGATTTTTTATAAATTTGGAGCTAAATATTGTAAATAAGGCTTCAAAGAAAAATCTAATGAAAGTTTAATTATTTTAATTATCTTCGATGGCTTGATATTTTTAAACAATAGTTCATTGAGGGAAAGAATAAAAAATTTTTATTGATTTGATTTAGAATTTGATGTTTAAAAAATCTGATTTTTTTAGATAAAACTATTTTTTTAAAAATTCGATTTTTTTATTTATTTTTTCCATCTGTGTTTGGGATGCCATCCATTGCAATGGACGAAGTGCAAGTCAAAAGCTATCGTTTTTAAAACTTATATACAAAATATAAACAAATAGCATGATATTATTTGACGCATCTCTCAAGTTGTTAAAAGTCGAGTTAAAAATAACTTGTTTGAATTGTTTGTTATGTGTGTCAATGGGCGGAAGCTCGTAAAAGGTTTGAAATCAAAACTGAACTTGTGCTTTTATTTTCGATTCGATTTCAAGGTTTAGTTTCGTTTTTAAACTAATCAGAATATTTGTTTCGGTTTTAAAACTTATCAGAATATTTGTTTAGATTTTAAACGCATCAGTATATGTTACTTGTTTCGTTTTTAAATATATCAGAATTTTAAATATGTTTCGTTTTTAAATATATCAGAATTTTAAATATGTTTCGTTTTTAAATTTATCAGAATTTTAAATATGTTTCGTTTTTAAACATATCAGAATATTTGTTTCTTTTGTTATTGTTCAAGAAATAGTGGTTTGTGAATATTCATTAGCTGCATAGGAAATATTTGCTGCATATTTTTAAATTGAATTTTAATATCTCTAGAGATTAATTTTTGTTACTGTTTAGATCAGGTGTGGCGAAACTTGATTTATTTAGAAGTTTGGTAGATATTAGAATCAAAATAGTCAGCCTTTACTTTTTAATGGACTTTCAGTTAAAGGAAAAGTTTTTTGCCAAAATTAATTTGCTTTTCAAACATTTTTTAGTAATCTTCCTAGAGATTAATTCTTTCATAATTCTTTACCACTTAATTAAATTTTGTTTACTTTCACATGATATACAGCATGTGATAACCTTTCGATTATTTTCATTGAGTTTTGCTTTAATTCAAAAGCTTTAATTAGTCGATTTGAATTCCACCAAAACTGCTACCACTGCCAATAACTTTTATATTTGTAATGTGTTTGAGTGTTATGCAAAAATTATCAATAAAAGAAATTAATTATAAATTGCATAATAGTTCATAAACTCAGTTGGTGATTCTGTAAGTCACAGTTTATTTCTTAAAGTCTGATTTTCGTAGACTTTAAATACGTTTTAACTTTAGCTATTTAAAAGGGATATCATTTCATTAAATAATGCCTGATCACGTCGACCTAGGTTTTGTGTCATATAATTTAGTTTTGACTTGTGCACTAGAATAAATATTTTTTATAAATTTTTAAATGTGTACTAGAATTGAATTTTGCTTCTGGTTTCGATTAGGTATTTCGATTGAATAAAAAATTCTTTCAATTCAAGGAACTTGTTTTTCATTTACCTAACTGCATAACATTTATCATTACACTTTATTATTTAAATAATAAATATTATAGATTATTATAAATAAATATTATAAATTATATATATAACTTTATTCATATCTTGCGCAGGTTTTTAAAATTTTTTTCTTCAAATTTTAAAATAATTTTGTAATTAAGTTTGAATTGTTCCATTAATTTTGTTTGATTTTATTGCATATTTTTAAAGATAGAGCAAAAAAATTTAAGGCAAAGTTATTTTTTTTTTATAAAAAATCTCCATTAATTCTTAATCTAGGTTTACGAACTTTTATTCAGTTATTTCAAATAACAACCAAAGTAATCGATATAAGATACAAGCCTATTGCTTGATTTTCTGCATAGGGTGTTTAAAAATACTAGTTTACTAGTATTTTACTAGTACTAGTAAAATACTAGTAATACTAGTTATTGCCGGTCTCTCAAACCTTTGAAAGCCTTGTATCTTATTGCTAAGTATGAAAAATCGCGTGAACCAAACACCTCTAAGTTACAAAATAATCCTCAAAGTGCTTAAGAAATTTATAAAAAATGTCTAAAACTGAAAATGTCTCTTCCATTATTGTAGGGTAGTGTATTTACGGACGAACCCAAATATCTGCTTAGCTCATAAAAATTTAAGCATGGATAAATGACTTGGTAAAATAAAAGAATCCCAGAGTGTTAGAACATTAAATAAAAAAAAGATAATTTATTATACTTGAAACCCAGAAGGTATGAAATGTGTTCAAGAAACAAAATTGTCATTTTTTGCTAAAAACGTGAAATTGAAAAAAATTCAAACACTATTTGTAGGCATCCTGGAGTAAGATGTTAATAGGTGTGACCACCATAGAAGACATTGACGTCGTCGCATGCTTTATACAAGAGTATGCGGCAGCTTTTTTAACAATTTGTCTCATTCCTCTGTCAGTGCACGGATGAGGGTGTCATTGTTTATTGCAGGACATTCTCGATTAGCAACACTCCTCCACAAATATCCCACACATTTTCAATAGAACTCAGATCTGGAAAACGTGCTGGACGTTGAATGTCCTCTCTCTGTACCCACTGCTGGTTGCGTTGTCATTCAAAAAAAAAAAAAAATTATCACCGGACAGCACCACGGAACAAGCTTACATGAAGCAGCAGAACTAAGCTGTCTAACCGTGGGAGGTTCTCGTGGTCTTCCTCTAAATGTAACACAAACGCGGGTTAGTTCTATCCGAAAGTCCTCCACGGAGGCAAATTTCCCCCAATACTTGATCCAGAAGTTCCCTTGTCTTCTTGATTTGGTTCAAAATAACAGGAAAGTGGAGTTGAGCATTATAAGTCGTAAACCCAAAAAATTGGTTTGGCTGTTCAACGACGGTTATAAAATCAAATCAAATCATAATGCCAGCCCATTACATGGTATTACATGTAGGATATCGATCCCAAATCCCGATCGTGTCAAAAATATAAATCTCTGAAAAAAAGGAAGAAAAAAAATCGAAGAACAAGGTCCTTTTCTAATTCTTAACCGTATATAATTTCAAGAAAGCCATGTAAACTCTTAACAATAATTAAAAGCACAATTGCTTTTTATAAATTTACAGAACAAGACACTCTTTTCGATTCTCATAAATAACGAAGTGTTTTATTTTCCTTTCAAAGATATCAAGTTATGGTGAAGATTGCCTTTAAGGTCCTCTTTATCAATTTCGAATTAAACAATGTGTAATACTACTCTGAAGGAAGAAAAGCTCTCTAAGCGTGTTCAAGTTTTCTCGAATTCAATAAATCTTTTATTGGCAAATTTACACATTTAGCTAAATTTTATCTCTATTATCTTCTTTTAAGGGTTCTCTGTAAAATTCAGGATGTGAAATTTCGCGGATCGAAAAAAATCACCTAACAACGTAACGAGTCTTATTAGAATACTGAAACAAAATTCATTCAAATTTATAAAAATTAAAATTAATCTAATTTTTATTTAATGAAACAAATACCAAGCATATATTTATGATGAATGATGTATAAACATTGCTTTAAATATGAAAACAAATGTCCTCTCTCTGTCGTTTAATCAATCTCTGATAATTTGTGAAATGAAATGTGGAATAAGAATTACTTTTCACGTTAATTATGCATTCACCTAGAAAAGTTTTTTCTCAAATTTTGCATTTTATTAAATTTGAAGAAAAAAGCATTATTATTTAAATGTATTTCTGCCAAATCCGAATATAATTTTTTATCTAAATAAGGAACATAATTTGTTGAACTAATTTGTTCAGATTTAACTCTGCCAAGGAATGTATAAGATACGAGATTGTTATACCCAATGTATAAATACTAGTTGCAATATTTTCGTTGCATATTTGGTACTCTTCTGCGTATTTTAGGATAAAATCGATAATTTTTTTTTCTTTAGTCAATCACAGTGCTAGTTGTAAAAATCGGATAAGTATTTTTTAACGTGTACTATATTTTTTTTTTCTTTCCGAAAACTGTAAATTCATTTTGCTCTAAGTTTTGTTTAAATGTTTTTCTTTAATTATTTCGTGATATTCTATAATAGTATTTTTTATATATTTCAGGTTGGCTCTTCCATAATTTGAGGCACTTCTCATAATGGCATCACCTACTCCTTCTTTGCCAGATTCCTCATTATTTGGCTCTCCACAACTTAGTTCATTTGGAGATCAAACACAGCCTGAAAGTTTAGGAACTGAGTGTAGTCTTTGTCACGAAACTTTCACTGTTCCAAAAGTTTTGCCGTGCTTGCACACATTTTGCCAGCCTTGTCTTGAAAAGGTCCAAGAAAATCATGAGAAATTAACATGTCCCAAATGTGAGCAAGATTGTTCTCTACCGTCTCAAGGAGTATCCGGTTTTCCATCCGATTACGCAATCAGCAACGTTTTAGAGACATCTACTTTAGAAGGATCACCATTATCTTGCACGGGCTGCAAGACTAAAGACACCCACGCTGTTGCCCGCTGTTTCGATTGTGCTAATTACTTGTGTGGAAACTGTGTCATGGCTCATCAATATATGCACTGTTTCGAAGGTCATCATGTTGTAAATCTTAAAGAGCAATCGAGCAAAGACGATTTTAAGACTGATAAGCTCCTTTGTTGTCCACGTCACAAGACTGAAACATTAAGATTCTTTTGCAGAACTTGCAATATACCGATATGCAAGGAATGCACAACTACTGATCATCCAAAAGGACTTCATGATTATGAACACATATCAGACATTGGTGCAAGGCAAGTCGAACAGATTGCAGAGCTTGTTGATCAAAGCAAAGCCAAAACTAATGATTTAAGAAATGCTGCCAAATCAGTTGATCATCTGTCTTCTCGCCTTCAAATGCAATATCATAAAGCTCAGGCTGAAATCAATGATACGTTTAATTTTTACTGCTCTGTATTGGAAGAACGCAAAGAAGAGCTCATGAAAGAACTTGAAGACCTCTACAACACTAAAATGGTTTCATTAAGCTTGATAGATAATAAAGTGCAAGAAATGGTCGATAATGTTAATCATATATCCAGTTTTGTCGATCGCATCATGAAGTTTTCTAGCACCACAGAGATCTTGGTTTTCAAGCAACTTCTTGATTCAAAGCTACATTGCGTAATCTCTTACAATCCTGATGTAAATATGCAGTCTATTGATCTTGAGTTCCTGTCCAATTACCAAGCCATCCAAGTTGGTGTCAGAAACACTTTTGGATATATTCGGCATAGCTCTGAGGGCGCTCCTGCAACTAAACCACAACCAATAGCACGACCAAATGGTGTAGTCAATTCGGATCGCTCTTACCAAAATGGACATGCGTATGAATCTAACATTATATCCAAAAGATTTGGCTCTGCAAATAGCCTCGGACCATTTAATACTAGCTTGAGTGACATTAGTCCTTATGAAAAATGGTCAAGTGGACCAACAGATATCTTTCAAAACGGCTCTAGTGACTCGTTTCATTTGAATGTTGATCCTGTTATAGACTTTACTTCAAAATTCATTTCTGCTAGTATGTATCCCCTGAAATCCCAAATAAAAAGACAGAAAATGATCTACCACTGTAAATTTGGTGAATTCGGGGTAATGGAGGGTCAATTCACAGAGCCAAGTGGTGTTGCTGTTAATGCACAGAATGATATCATAGTTGCTGACACCAACAATCACAGAATCCAAATCTTTGATAAAGAAGGACGCTTTAAATTTCAATTTGGAGAATGTGGTAAGCGTGATGGGCAACTTCTTTATCCCAACAGAGTGGCTGTGGTTAAAACTTCTGGTGATATCATAGTCACTGAAAGGAGCCCTACGCACCAAATACAGATCTATAACCAATATGGACAGTTCGTTAGAAAATTTGGAGCTAATATTCTTCAACATCCACGTGGGGTAACAGTTGATATTAAAGGACGTATAATTGTAGTTGAGTGCAAAGTTATGCGAGTAATAATATTTGATCAACTTGGCAATGTTTTACAGAAGTTTGGATGTTCTAAACATCTGGAATTTCCTAATGGAGTGGTAGTTAATGATAAACAAGAAATCTTCATCAGCGATAATCGGGCACATTGTGTAAAAGTTTTCAATTACGATGGTGTATTTCTTCGTCAAATCGGAGGAGAAGGCTTAACAAATTATCCTATTGGTGTTTGTATTAACCAAAATGGCGAAATTTTAGTAGCAGACAATCATAACAACTTCAACATAACAATATTCACTCAAGATGGACAGTTAGTGAATGCGTCAGAGAGCAAAGTAAAGCATGCTCAGTGCTTTGATGTTGCGCTCATGGACGATGGTTCTGTCGTTCTTGCAAGTAAAGACTATCGCTTGTATATCTATCGTTATATGCAAATCCCTGGCCTTGGTATTTAACGGAACAAATCACGTTGTTGTATTTAAAATGTTACTCAGTTATTGCCTTTTGGAACTTTGGCAGCTGTTGCGAAATGAAACTGCAAAATAAAAGGAAGCTATTGGAAGATATATGAATGTGGCAGGGTTGATGTTTGAATAAGCATTTTCAGTATTTCACGCTAAGTTGAATTGTATACCAATATTTATCTATATTACTGTATTCCACTTGAAATAATTACATAGTTTAGTGAAAACCTTGGATTGTCCGAAATATTAATGAAAGTTGATCCTTTCTGTCTAAACTGTTGAAATAACTCTCCTCTTTTGAATTTTAGCTGAAGTTACAAGAGACCCCTTCCCTAAGCTTGTCACTGTAAAGGCAGATGTCACTTGTTAGAGAAGGGGAGCACTTAGAACCCTATAACTAAAAAATTTTAAAGTGTCCTCTAACTTTACAGATGTTACGTTGGATATGAGATTACATAGTTACTTTAAAATGAATATTTTTTGCAGTTATCAAATGGTATTATTGGCCTTAGTCATATAACCAGCAGCTACTATTGATACTTCCATTGCTTGTTCCGATAAATTTTTTGCTATGTTAAATATAAGGATGTTTTAATATTTATTTATTGAAAATGAAATAACTTTTTAATGATAAATGGTCAAGCCAAAAATGAAACATTTCCTGTGATCTCTTTGAAGATTGGGGCCACTTGTTGAAAAACAGTTGTTGATCACTCTGCCAGCCTGAATTTTTTGCCTTAATAAAAATGCTTTTGGACTATAGCATCTACCTTTGCCTTTGTGGCCTGGTTCTTGAATCGGGTCTGTTCTCTTCCAATATTGTGCAGGCTTTTTTTTCTCCTGTACTGTCTATTTAGATGAACTTCCAGGTTTTTATGAGTTATGTTTAACATGGGTGCCAATTTCCCTGTTAATTTTATTAAACTTTGTGTTGACTTATTTATTATTCACTTCTCGTTCTTAGATTTTTAAATATTGTGTGAAACATAACCGTTATATCAAGATCTGATAGTTGCATCTCCGAGTCTAGTAAATTTTTGCCTCGGCGTACTCAGTCTGTTGTATTCCAGATATTTAAGCATTTAACTAGTTAATTATGAGCAATGAAAACAAGTTACAGTTGTGAATTTGAAAGAATTAGTTTTGTTTATTGTTTAAAATTTGTAAGCTTAATGATCGCACTGATTAATTGATGGACCAAGTTAATGGATTAAACTGATCTTTTTTAATAGCGAAGATATTGTAGTGAGGCATGATTTGTATTTGTATCTTTTAGTTGTAACGTGTCTTGCCTATACTATACAATCATATATATAAATATTATATATATATTATATATATATATAAGTCAATGTTTACTCGTATGTTACTCTTAACGTGAAAAAAAAATAGAAATTTGTATTTTTACACTGGTCTTTATAATACTGTTTAAACATTGGCCAGTATGCCAGAGAAAGAGTACTCTTTTCTCCACCAAAGATACATTGTTTGAGCACCTTTTTATAGTAGCAATAAATGCTGAAAATATTTGTAGAGGGAGAGATTTTAACTTTCTGTGAAGTTTTGCACTTTTATTTTTTGTTTTATATTTATTAAATTGCTTATTATATTGGCAGCAGACTTAAATTTTTTTTTTATTATTTATGGTTGTGTAGTTGGCAGTTGATTTATTGTTTGTTATTTGTTCAATTAAGTTAAATACAATCATTCACATTAGATGTTTTAATGATATTTCTACCTCGATGAGTTTTGCAATAATTTTAGTTCATTCCTTTATTTTTATTTATTTCTTATTTTGTTTGCCAGGTTGGTTTTAATAATTATGGAATGATTGTTACTATTTGCTTATTTCTTTAAAATAAATGATCTCAAATTTGATACTTATATCTTAAAAATTGTAATAAATTTTATTACTATGTATTTAATATAACTTATTTTTTTAATGTTCTAATTGTTTGTTTTACCACTTGATTTTTTGACCATTTACTCATTTTAGAGTGGTCTTATATATATATATATGCTTAATGTTGCACTCACAAGATATGTGTGAATATATTCAGTTTTTCATAAAATGGAATTAGCAATTTTTGCAAAGTGTTCTAGTTGAGTAGTATGCATTGTAACTATTTGTTTTCACAATGTTTCAGTATGTAGCCAGTCAGTGCTTTTTTACACCGTGTTTGAGGTATTTTCTGATGACAGTAATTTTTGTACATGTCTTTTACAGTAATGTATGTTGTAAAAATTTAAAAACAAAAATCGAAGTTACATTGGAATCACATATTTTGGTGTTTTAAAATAGCCTTTTTAAACTTGTTATGCAGTGTTTATTTACACGTGCATTAAAATGATTTTTTGCGATCAATACAACTAGTTGCATTAAATGTTCCGCTGTTAAAAACTTCCAGAGTTTTTGTACCATATGAAGCAAGTTTAATTTTCTGAAATTTTAATTTTCGCACAATGGCTGACAAGTTAGTAAAAAGGAAATTTAGTATTGCTTGCACAATGTTAGAACTTATTTTTGTACTCTACTGAGACTATTTTTTCTACGTATTTTTTGGCCACCACTTTTGTAATTGCATCATGTGATGGCTATTTTTTTTTGTCAGCCGCCTGTGCAGGCTCAATTTTTATTGTTCTGAAATTTGACAGATTTTTTGTGTTAAGTTAATGGTTATGCTGTTTTGTTAATTTTTATTAAATTTTTCGTGTGTTAAAATATAAATGTTACTTACATACTATGTATTACATCATTATTCAACATATCTTGTAAAAGTGGTAGTGTTTGTATTGTATGTGTAGACAAATTATATACCCTTAGATGTTTAGTCACAAACGCCAGGTCTTCTCCACTATGCAATTGCTTCTTCTTTTTCTAGTTTTTTTAGCTTTAGAATGGAACAAATTGTATTTTGCCTTGGCAGTTTTTGATAATCGTGTTGAATATACAGATCTGTTAATTCTCATGTTGGCTACTTTTTTGAAACAAAATCTGTTTTTCTGTGGAGAAACCTGTTTTCCATGAAAAAAAAAAGTAGTTAAATATCCTATAAATGTGTGTATTTATACTGGACAACAAAAACAAAAGTAAAAAGAAGCTTAATATTTTAAAATTGCATATATGAATCATTGTGCATGTGTTGTGATTGATTGAATACATCTTTATAGTGGTACAAGAGCTTATTACACAGTTTTAGTGTACATTCCATTTTTTTGAAATACAGTATTACACTCTCGAATTCTGCCATCACATGTGACAAAAAATTACATTTTTTATTTATTTATTTTTTTTTTTTTTTAGTTTTTCTTTGCAGATGTCTGTACATAATAGGCTTCCAGAGCCTAGAATGTTGGTAAGGTGCTCATTATTGTTTGCCCAATATCAGGTGCTTTGTAGTGGATTTTTTTAAAACTTTTTAAAATCATTGATTGATCAAACAATAGGAAGGAAAAGTATTTTCATAAGCACGTCATAGAAAACAAATTTGATAATTTAGCCATTGTACATTGAGACCAATTACTGTTTTTTAATGTTTTCTTTTACCTGGCTTTACCCAATTTACCCAAATATTTATTTATACTTATTTATTAAATCACTTTTGTGAAAAAAACTTATACAGGCCTGGAATTGAATTACCGGCCTCGCTTTCTCATGACTAGTCAATAAAGTTATTAATTCTGTTGATTCCTATTGAAGGAATGACTTGTTTTGTTGTTAAATCAGCTGTTAATATAATTTGTCTCTACATTTTTTAACTTAAATCCTTTTGAGAAAAATTTTATGCACTTATAGATAAACTCTAAGTGCCGTGGTATATGTTCTGCCACATCTTTTTTTTCTAAAAAGTCATTTTTATTCATTTGTTTGTTTTAACTTATAACATTTCAATTCATGAAGTATGTTTTATTGTCTTTCATATGTTTGTTATTGTACTACTACTGCATTAAATAAAGTATTTTTTTGTTTTGCTGAATAGTGTCTTTTACACTTTTAAGTAATTTTAAAATTTTAGTACTGATACACTAATAAATAAATGGTTAAAAAAAATGTTTCTTTTTATTTCGAGTTGCTTTTTTAAAATGGTCTGAATACACTTTTCAAAAAAGTTGTAATATTGTGACTTTCAACGTTACTTAAAATTGTACAGAAATCATGCTGACTGTGTGAAATGGAGATTTTTTCTCATTTAATGAACTTTATTCCATTTAATGAACTTTTTTTACGTCATTTAATGAACGTTAAGTTTTTTCCGAGTTTTAAAAGTTCATTGAATGACGCTAGTCAAAGATACCTTCAATGTTCAAAAATTGTCATTTATTTGCACTTTAATTAAAATATAATAGATCTCTGATTTTGTCAGGAACAAAAATCAAGAGAACTGTAAAGGCACAACTTTTTCTTAGACATTTTGGTGCAGCGTCTTCTATTTTATTTTTCCCTCTTTATTTGAGTACTAACCGTGAATTAGCTCTCAGAGGTTAAATTTTAAAAAAATCGCGAATATATGTTTTTTAACTGAAGATATTTATGTTATTGCCTAATTGAATTTTTGCGTCCAGTTTGTTGGAAGTGTCCTTTTTTCTTAAACTGCTGATATTTTTAACTTACTGCAATCTATTATATGCTTTTGGACAAATTGGGAAAGTGTTAAAGAATTATAATGAGATAGCTTAAGCGTAAATATTTAGTAAAGATATTTACAATAAACTTTGCTACATTCCGACTTACTGCAAACTGCCTGTGTAATGAATATTTTCTAATTAGCTTTAAGGTATGTGGCCTCACTGCTAAAAAGCCTAAAATTATCAGAATCCTTAAAAAAATGCTGTATTTTTTTAAATTAGCCTGGCACATTGCCCAATTGTGGCGACTATTAAAAAGAGCCTATTTTTCACTTGCCTTAAAACATAACTCACAACAGTTGTCTCAAAGTTTGGGACAAAAAGATAATATTTTCGCTCTCTAACTACGAAATATCCGTAATTTTATAAAATATTCTTTTTAATTGGTAGCTAATGTTAATTCTGTTAGTAAATAAGAATTTTAAAAAATCCTCTAACGCAGCATATAAATAATTAAAATCTATACATAAAAAGTAAGTCATGTTTTTAAATGCAGTTTAGGTTTTTAACCATTAGTATTTTTAAAAACGTATGACTTAGTTCACTACCACAAATATTTCACAAGAATCTCAAATTTTGAAAGGTTATACGATGCGTTGAGTTACAGTAGATATATCTAAAAAAATATGCTAGGAATATTTCAATGCAAATTCGGTGTTTTTATTCGCGAACTCTCGAATACGCCATCTGCGAAGAAAGCCGGTTCCATAGCTTACCCTTCCTTTCTTCTGAGTTGTATAGGAACGTATTAAGATATTTCTCCCTTTCTTAATATTTTTCATATTTGTCACAAATATTTTATTAAAATTTGCACGACACTCTTGGAATTTTGTTCCATGTAGTTTTCAACTCTATATTGACCCCTAACTTAGTTTTAAATCTATTTGAAAATCAAGACAGAAACTAACGTATTTCCTTCTCCTATGACTCTCCACACGCCAATGGTGAAAGCATGCGAAGTGTAAAAAGTTCAACTCTACACCACTTGTAGCCCATTTCGATCTCTATTGGTACAAATATGTTATAATAGGAAATTTTCGTCTCTGAAAAAGCTAATTCCCTAAATAAAATTCCATTCCCAAAAAAAAAAAATCCCTGAGAAGAGAAAATGATTGAAATTGGATACGTAATGATAGGAATTTAAATTACACTAACTTTCATACTAAAATGCCTGAACAATAATAGATCCTTCTTCCTTAGTGATAGGAACCAAGAATTACATGAGATTGGTTATTCATCCCAGATTAGCTTATTTTCTTCTAAATATTGTCGCTAGGGATAGGTTTATCGTTATTTTAATATGATTTGCCATAGATGGAATGCGTTGAACAGCCGACCCAATTTTGTGTTTACGACTACCAATGATCAACTCCGTAGCTCTTTTGAACCCAATCCAGAAGACAAGGAAACACCTGGATCAGTAACCCCAGAGGCATAATTTTTTATGGGAACATGGAGGACTTTGTGACTCGACAGATTTAACAAGCACCAGTCACCATTTACTGCACGGGGAGTCTTCGGCCGGCGAAGATCGAACCCCCGAAATCTTGGACATGAGCCCAGTGCCCTACCAACCAGTCCCGGTCCAAATCAAGCATTTGAATATGTGGGGGGTAATGTTAGCCTAGTGGTTAGAGCATTGCACTTCAGTCCGGAAGGACCGGGCTTCAAGGCCGCCTTAAGTCGCCGAGTATATTTATTCACTGTACATGCTCGTAAAATATAAGAAATCGAAAGTCCTTTGGTCGGTACCTTTCCTCCAGAAGTGGACACGTAACTAGGTATGCAAAACCCTTACCCGTATAGTCCACGTCTGTGTGGTCGGTACCATGGGTATAGGGATCTGGAGAAAATTTTCTTCGCCCTCAGATCTGTGACTGAATTGTGGAAGTAAACTCACAATTGGATGGGTTTGCCGTCTATCCGGGAGGTTCTGAGCGAAGTTGAACTTTCACCCTAATGATGCTCTCTTTTCAAACTAAAATCGTGTCATTAGAAGCAAAATATGCGATAAAATGACAGAATTTTATTTTCGAGCTTTTTCCAAAACTCAGAAATGCTGAATGATGATTTTTATCAGTTTTAAAGTGTATTTTAAAAGTAGATGCTTGATTGTTTTCCACCCTACTTGCAATGGTTTAAGGATTATAACTTAATATACTCTTTGGTTTAGCGAATGTAAATCCTGGAAAAAGAAACACGGCATAATTATTTTTCTTTCTTTTAATAAAATAATGCTTAGCTGGTAATCAAAGAAAAATAACATTTTAATTAAAAGAGTGTCATTTTTTTAAAAAGAAATACTGGAATAAGCCGCTTATTTGGTTATTATTAATAAAGTTATTTTTTATAATATCCCATTGGGGAGAAACACAAGTGTAGAAAATACCGGGCAATGGCATTTTCATCTTAAAAAAACAATCAGTGAACGGAATAGCCAGCAAGTGAATACTGAACATTCCCCTTTAACATAAAAAAGCATTAGTATATCTCAATTTAAATAAAATCGCATTTAATTAAAGACCTCAACCATAATCAGTCCCGCAGAGGACTGATCTTAAGACACGGTTCCCAGCAGATCACCGAAGTCAAGCATTACTGGCTGCGGTCAGTGTGCGGGTGGGTGACCACTTGGATCAGTCTGAGTAGGGACCGAGGGTGCGCGGTATTGGTCCTCGTTAAACTGTTCTATCGTAAAGTGCTCGACTTCGCGTGCAGGTCGTCGGGCTACCAAAGCGGGGGTGCCATCCCCTCTGCTGAGGATCAAAATTGTGATGGCATGTCATCTGATCATCCTCAGGGATGTTTCCCAGACCGTCGCCTATAGCCCATTGTGCAGCTCTAGTGCAACGTAAATGAACAAATCAATCAATCAATCAGTAATATGAATGGATAATATCAAATTATTAATAATTTATTAAAGAAACAAAGAATGGGGATAAAAATGTACGATTTGTTGCGTTCTAATTTGAAACTACCTGGCCATTCTCCTCTAGCTTTAAAAGTAATGACAAAAATTCTGAAAAGATGGCGCTATCTTGTTAGTAATAGAACTTTTTGTTCCTAATTTTGTTCCTAATTTACCAATTAAGGTGAGATTTTCAAGTGAGAAATTGTCGTGGTGAAAAAAATATTTATTTTTTTCTACTAAACGCATTTACTAAAACTATCATTTAAAATAAATGCAACTAAGCGTGTGCAAGCAAATATGCATATTTACAGACCTGCATGGCATTAAATTGAATTTTTACACGAAAATTAAATAAATGGGGAAGAAAGTAGTGTTCATGTAGCCAATTAGGGTCGTTTTTCTCAAATCGCAAGTTGTAACAACTCTAAAGATTCGAACTATCAAAATTATAAACGTTACGTTAGTTTTCTTCTGTCTTACGCTATGGAGAGTAAAAGTAATAAGCATGACATTCATCTCAACAATCTATATAATTTTATATTTTGATTCTTGTTTCAAAATTAAGCACTAGTACTCTATTTTCCTTTCTGATATCTCTAGTTACTTCTGTCGCCTTCTTAAGGTTATCGTGTGTTCTCTGAAGTACTCCAGTCTCTTCTCCTAATTCATATCTTTCAATAATTAGTGCTATCTTTTCTACAACTTGACAAAGGCTTATAAGCAGCTATTTGTGCAATATGAATTGGTGAATTACTTTTTAATGAAGCTGTTGTTATTTTGGAAGTAACAGAGTTTCGATGATATATTTCTTTTCTATTTCCGGTGTTCTATTGTAATTAGTGTTCAGTATCTTTCGATAGATTCTTAATTTAGTTGTCTTTCAATTGATTCTTAGGTGTATTTTTCATTTTCACTTTCTGGGGCATTGTTGTTGTTGTAGTTCATTTACGTCGCACTAGAGCTGCACAATGGGCTATTGGGCGACGTTCTGCGAAGCATCCCTGAGGATGATCCGAATACATGCCATCACAATTCTGATCCTCTGTAGAGGGGGTGGCACCCCCGCTTCGGTAGCCCGACGACCTGCACACGGAGTCGAGCACTTTACGGTAGAACAGTTTAACGAGAATCCATACCGCACACCCTCGGTCCCTACGCAGACTGATCCAAGTGGTAACCCACTCGCACACTGACCGCAGCCAGTGATGCTTGACGTCGGTGATCTGCTGGGGACCGTGTCTTAACGATCAGTCCACTGCGACACCTATCTGGTGCAACTCAGTAATTTGTGTTAGCTGTCCTTCAACTTATTCTAAGATGTCTCTTTTTTAAGTGGTATTTCTCGGTCGATTATCTTACAATTCTTCAAGGGATTATAAACAATTCTTTGTATTGATCTCACAAGGCACTCGAAGACGTTATTAATTGTCCGAAAGTTGA